AAGATAGCAAGAGGCATTATAGTAACCACTATTGATCATCTTGTATTCTTTTTACATTATGTACTATGTCCATCCTTTTGATTTGACTGACTCTGTTTTGTTATGTCACATTTGGTTTTATTCTCTTAAAAAAAAAGTAATAAGAACTGTGAGAGTAATAAAACCCAAAATAACATTGTCATTGTAAAAAAGAGAGGAAAAGAAAGTGCTCTAAAGGATATAACTGCATGTATATTTAAGCCTATAAGATAGATAACCATATTACTGAGTTTTTGTTGGATCATTGAACAGAACTGTTTGCAGTATCCCTGTTTGAATGTCCACTTTATATGCTTTAATTTTGTAACTTGAACTATTTCTAAAATGACAATATGTAATCAATTAACTAGTGATTTCCTACTGTTTTTTGAAATTCTGTGTAACTTGTACCTTTTTTCTGTTTTTTCCCTTTTTCTCCTTAAATAAAATTAAAAAAAAAAGAAAAATAGGCAAGAGTAATTATAAATTAACAAGAAATTCAAGTGGTTGATAAAACTTTATCGGTAGTCAGAAAAATAGAATGAAAACAAGATTTGACAGCTATCAGAATGGCTGAGATTCAAGTCTGATGATATTTTAATAAAGAGGGGTCATCAAGTATTGCTGTGAAAATCTAAATTTCTGGAGGCACTGGTGTAATATAAACAAATGCACATTTGAAATGTGCTACTCTCTGCAGTCCCTACCACAATTCCAGAAATTTATACTTAGGAAATAATAGGGTACATTCACTAAAATATATGCAGGATGCACAGCACAGTACTGTGCACAAAAGCAAAATACTGTTACTAATGTCCTTTATTGAGGGTGGGTATAATCAGACAATGTAATTTATGCAATGAACACAACATGATTATTAAAAGTGCTGACACAGATTTGTATTTATTGACGTGGGAAGAGTCTATCAAGTAAGTATTAAGTAAAAACACGTTATGCATCCAGGGAAAAACGGGAGGAACAAAAACAAAAATGTTAGCAGTGCTTATTAAGTAGTGACATCATATATCATCTTTAATTTCTCACCTAGGTTTGCCTACATTTTTCAAAGAATGTATATTAATTTCATCTTCAGAACAATGGAACTACTTCTCAAAAGCCACTTATGATGACGATGTCTCCAGTTTCCAGCATTGTACCCCCTTTTGAATGTATTAAGAATGCCTAGGTTTAAAAATTTCTGCCAGGAATTCCAGTCTGAACATTTTAATGAACCAATAATAATTAAGTGATAAGTGAGTGAAGCAGCAAAGGAAAGAAAGTGTTAGCTTAAGGCCCCTATTAAAGGCAAACTGGTCCTTTAATGATCCAAGAATCAGTACTAGGAAGGTGACATGAGAAGGAGTGACAAATTCAACTCCAAGTGCCAAGGTGCTCACAGATTGGTACAGAAAGAATAGTAACACCAGGAAAATAGCAAGAGGGAACTAAAGGAAAAGTTAAATCAAATGAAATCAGAGAATACAAAAAAGGTTACTGTCAACAGGGAAGAAGTCCTGGAGGAGAGAGATTTGGTTAGCTTTTCATCAATGTGATAAAATATCTGAGAACAACAATTTAAAGGGGAAATGGCTGAGGAGGCCTCAGTTTCAAAGGGTTGGTCCTGGTTGGCTGGCTCTGTTTTGGGGCCCGGAAGCACACCATCATGAAGGGAGGGTGTGGCAGAAAAAAGTGGCTAACCTCACCGTAGCCAGAAAGCAGAGAGGGAAAGAACCAGAGAAAGGGCTGTGGATTAGAAAGTTTTCAAAGTTACATCATCCAGTGACCAGCTTTGCCTAAGCAGGCCTCATCCCTGATATTTCTATCATTGTAATTCAAACCCATGAAGATTCCATCCAATCCCTTCCTCCAAAGCCCATCAACCAGGAACCAAGCCTTCAACATACTAGATTTATGAAGAACATTCTAGATCTCAGCCACAGCAGAAACAGGACAGGGTGAGAAAGGAGAAAGATGCACTGTGAGAACCATCACAGCATGCTTAGTAAACTTTATTTCATCTGATGTTTGTTAATAGTTTTTTGCTGTTGTTGTTGTTATATGTGAGGATTTTGACAAAAAGAATAAATACTATCCATTAAAAATTCACAATTTGTAAAGGACAATACTTATACCAATACCTATAAAGGAAAATTTATAAATTGCTTAAGCATTTACCTTTATTCAGGACAAATGTATGGCCACCTATCGCCCAGCAGTCAGCCATATGGAAATGTGACCATAAAGTGTCCTCACAGCTAAGAATCTTGCCACTGGAGCTAATGGAGTCAAACTCTAAGTAATACTGTACTACATACACAATGCTGCCATGTTCCAGAACGGAGTCAGATCTATCACCAGGGAGACAACCTTATGTAACCATGAAACCCTCATGGTTTCAGCTATTGGGTCCTTCGTAGCTGGACAGCTTAGTGACATAAAGCCCATGGGCTATGGGGTCAATATCTTTGTGAGTGTCTCAGCCACAATCCTAAGGATGAAACATCTGCGAAGGGAAATGGCTCCTCTGGCAAAAAAGCAGGATTTTGGGAAACAGGCATTGCTAAAACTCTCAAACCAAGAGCAAACAAAATCACAAACAGGCAAAATCATGAACTGGGGAGATGGGGAGAGCCGGACCTCTGAATTAGAAAAGGTATCACCACATGAGGATTGCTTCAAAAAAGAATCATTTGAATGTCAAAGGATTTCAAGAGTGGGAGAACCCAGCACAACTGTAAGCATTTGGTAGTTCTGTAAGAAAAACTGTCTGATCGTGACCTGTGACCTGAAGGCTGCTGTCTGGCACTGTGACTCAGATGGGTTAAAGATCCATCAAACAACTTGCAGCCAGGCATGGTAGCACATGCATGTTACCCTAACACTTGGGAGACTGAGGCAGGAGGATCACTGTCAGTGTGAAACCACTTGGGGCTACAAAGTGAGCTCAAGACCAGCCTGAACTGCATAGTGAGACCCTATCTCAAAAAGAAAAACCAACCAACAAACAAAAAACCCAAGAAACCCCAGAAAACCAAACCTAAAAACAAAAAACTTGCATCATTTTAAGAAGAATGCATATAGTTGCATTGATGATCTGTTTTAATATATTACAATTTTTCATTTTTCACTGTCAAATCTTATTCAACCCATTTCTATTTATTTGTAAAACCTCTGGTCTGTCTTTGAAATGCACTTTTTCTGGTTACACATTTCTTGCCAGGTTACACATTTCTTGCCAGGAGCATTGCATTGCCCAAAAGTGACCTTCCTCAAGTTTAGCATCCAAGTTGGATGAAATGTGTTACTGTAAACTCAATTTTGCCAAGTCTGGGCTTATGATCTTCTGACAAATAACCATCTTCTGAACCCTTCCTGGAAGTCCAGTATCATCATCCACAAGGTTACCCAGTTCTCAGCTTGAATCCCATTTCTCCTTATTCCACTATTCTATTGTTTATTAAGTTGAACGAGATTCTTCCTCAAACACTCCATCACTGTCTCAGGACAGATCTTGTGTCGGGTCACTGTGCCTTCCCTATGAATACTACTTATGTGTAATATACTGTCTTTAAACTATGACCAGCTTAAGAAGCCAATGACCAGCTCTGGAAGCCAATGGATCAGCACCAACTGCTCCATGGGGCACCTGCAACCTCCAGCCATCAACTGTGTTCATTTCATGTTACCAGACTGTTCTTCCCTCTGCCCTTGTAAGATCTATCTGCTCCGGTGAGCAGGGGCTCTTCCTTCTCACCCAAGGCTCTCCCCTGTTTACCTTGGACTGTAATAACACCACTCCTAAAACCCTGCCCCCTAGGCCAAAGGGCCTGGAGATTTAGCTCGTTATAATTCCTAATGGTTTCCCACACTCTAAATCCTCCTTATTCATGCCCAGTCTATTTTAAATAAACATGTTGAACAAATACGTAGAGATTATATAAATCATCCTTAGATCAACTTTCCTTTTTGCCTCTTTATAGACGATCTACAGTCTCGGGGCCAAAATCATCTATTTCCTGTTAAAGCTAGAAGACCGGAAGGAACAGATGGAACATACAACAAACACAGGTGATATAGTCAAGTTAAGGCAAACAAAGAAGTTAAATCGCTAGCACAAATTAAGAGTTACCTTTAAAACTGAGTGTGTACAATAGAATTAACAAACTGGATATAAAGACAAAAAAACATCAAACAGAAGATAACACAATGTGATTCTCCAAGGTCTCTCCAAGGCCAATTAAGTATTTTCACTTCACAGAACAAAATGAGAACTGCACGGTGCAATTAAGGTCAGATCTTAATCTATACTTGTGGATTCTTTAGGAACCTCTAGTTTACCTTCTAGCATGCAAGGTTCCTAAAAAATAAAGGATCTCGTCTATGTCCTAATGATAAGCGGTCTCTGAAAATGCTCTCTCTGCACCTGTGTTCATCCTCCTGAGGTCTGGGGCCACCTGCAGGTTCTGGGACATAATTCTAGAAAATCCAAGGATCATCTCCGTAGTAGTCCATGCATTACTCCAGCTGAGGTACAATGCTGTGCAAAATTACTTTATTACCCAATTAGCTCCATTTTCCACGGAGATATCTGACATGAAACTTTCCAAAAACAAGGCAAAGCAAAGCAAACGATGCTGTCCACGTAAACCTCATCACTTCAGGGGCAGGCAGGACGCAGGAGGACTGGGGAGCATCCTTCTCCTTGGCCAGGTTCCACTACTGCTACGTGCGAGGGGGGGAAAATGCAGCGTGGTGGCCAGGGGAAGCGAGGGCCACGTTCGCGCTACTCGGGGACCGGAGCCAACACCGGCCATCAGACTACGGGACGCCCAGGCTACGGGGGCACCCGGAGGGCAGGCGCGGGCCGCAAGCCGGGAAGAATCGGGTGAGTCCAGGGCTCCTGCGGGCCGCCCGCCCTGCGTCCTAACCCGCCCCACCGACGCAGGCCCGCTCTCCCTGTCCGCGCGGGAAGGCGGCCTCACCTGCTCCGCAGGCCGGGGCTCCCGGGAGCGGGGGGCCGCGAGCGGGCGCCATAACGGACGGGGAGGACACGGCGGCAGCGGCTGACAGAACCCGGCTTCCTGGAGCCTCCGCTCCGTTCCGGGAGCCTCACTACGCGCAGCCCCGCCAGCGTCCGCGTCACAGTCCTTCCGTGGCGTGCGCGTTGGCGGCGGGAACGCGCACGCAGAGGGGCAGTTCTTTCCCAGGTGTGGGGCGGGGCCGCGCCAGGTGATTGACACTGAGTGCTGAGCTGGCCGCTCCACACGGCTGGCGCTGAATGCGCAGTGTGACCGCGGTGTGGCTAAGCTACGTGGGGGTTTCCCATCCGTCCTAGCTTGACTGGTTGTCTGAGAGTCACAGTGTGCTGAGACCTCAGTTTATCTGTCCTTAGTCCTTTTAAGGACTATGGAAAATGACACTTGTTGCACAACTCTGAACCTTTTCCCAAGTTTGCTGGTTACGATTGATTCCCACTTCATAGATGGAAATGGAGACTTGTGTTACGCAGTGACTCTTCGGAGGGCCCCAGGGTGGCATATATTACAGCCTGTTCTGAGGGAGGCAGATTGGCCTCTTCCCTCTTCCACACCCCACACACGGAATGGTCACCAGAAGAAATGCCGAGATGGCTCAGTCACCTACACGCAGCTCAAGGCGCTCCTTAGCTCAGGGATCAACTGCTTTGAAATCTCAGAGCTTTGCCCCTGAGAGCCGGTAGAAGAAGTGCCAGCCAACACCCTTGAAAAGGTTTTTAAAGATTAGAGCTCTTGAAACACCTACTATATTCCTTTAGCAAGTGAAACAATGCTGGGACAAGTCTAGTGGTTTCAGGGTTTAGGCAGAGTCTTTCACTTAGCGCTAACTTGGGTCACCTGTTCCACCAGGTAATGTCCACCTCTGAATGCAGGTACTATTCATGCAGCAAGGCTAGCCGTGACCAGTGCTTTGGAAATAAAGAACAGTTATCTCTCAGGATCCACCAATGTCCGTGGGCAATTCCGTATGTAAAAAGGTATAATATTTGCATATAACCTATACCACCCTTTCATACCCCAAATCATCTCTAAATTCCTTATAAGACCTAATACGATGAAGTACTACCTCGTGTTTTAGGGAGCAATGGCAAGAAGAAGGTTTATACATGATAAGCAGAGATGTGATTTTTTTTTTTAGTTTTAAGTAGTCCATGTTAGTAATATATAGTGATATTCCTTGTGGGTACTTGGTATTCGTCTGTGACACATCTTGATTCTTTTTCATCTCCTTTCCCTCTCCTCCTCCTCCCCCCTCCATCTCTTGATTCTTTTCCAATTTGAGAAAGACCTATCTCTCTACCTCTTTATAGTTTGAGTTTCTCATGTAAGAGAAACCATTAATACATAACCTTCTGATTTGTTTCACTTAACATAGGGTCTCAAGGTGCATCCATTTTCTTACAAATGACTCAAATCATCCTTCTATATGTTTGAGTGTACTCCATTGTGTATAAATACATTTCCTTTATCTGTTCATCTGTTGATGGACAGGTAGGCTGCTTCCAAGATTTCGCTATTACAAATTGTGCTGCATAAACATGGGTATGCATGTATCACTGTGCTATGATGTCTTTAACTCTTTTGGGAACTTACTTAGAAGGGGAGTAGCTGGTCAGATGGAATTCCTAGTGTTAGTTTTTAAAGCAGTCTCTGTACTGATTTCACTAGTGGCTGTACTAGTTTACATTCCCATCAACACCTTAGAAGAGTTCCTTTTTGTCCTCAGATGCAATTTTCTAAAAAATTGTATTTCCATGCTTTGTGGAACCCACAGATATGGAGGACCAAGGGTACCAACTTTTTAATATTGCTCCACATCCCCATCATGAAGCGATGGAAGGTCAGAGCCAAGGACTGTAGAAACTGTCTGGTCCTGTCACTTCATTTTACAACTAAGGAACCTGGAACTCAGAGACTGGAGTGAAGTGGGCAAGTTCCCCAGGAGATGAGGGGAGAACAGAACCAATGTTACTTTTTTTTTTGTTTTGTTTTGTCTTTTTCGTTTTTATCGGTACCAGGGATCGAACTCACGACTGCCTGCTTGTAAGGCAGGCGCTTATGCCGCTGAGCTATGCCCCCAGCCCCTCAATGTTACTTTTTAAACTTCTTTCCTTCTCTTCTTCCTTCCTTTCTTCCGAAGTATGAGGGATTGAACCCAGGGCTTTAGCACTCAGTTACATTTCCAGCCCTTTTTTAATTTTAAATTTTCTATTTTAAAATTTGAGACAGGGGTCTCAGTAAGTCACTGAGGCTCTTGCTCCTCCTGCCTCAGCCTCCCAGAGTGCTGGGGTTATGAGTATGTGCCACTGCATCTCTCCTGGGAACAGTGTTCTAGAAATCTGTAAAACAAACAAACAAACAAATAAACAGCTTTGATAATTCTCATAGTAGAAAAACCCCGCAACACAGAGCCAAGGTCAGCTTTGAGAATCTGGCATAGTTCGCCGCTGACATGCTCTGATTTTAGGAAGAGGCTCTCTCAAAGTTATCTGCCCTTCAAAATCACTCACATAATTTATAGGATTATTTTATTATATTCAGCCAAAGGGTCAAATGCAAAAGAATGAGAGAGAGCTGTCCACACACTAGAGATCCAAAGAATCCAGTCGAGGATCTGGATTCCACAGCAGCGTCCTGCATGAGTCCAGCTGGAGGCCCAGAGCCCATGACCATGTGTCATGCAAGTCTGTGTCAAAGATCTGACCTGGGAAGGCCCAAAAGGCAATGGTGGAGGCTAGAAAGTCTGCAGCAGTGGGGTGAAGAATCTGTGCCAGCAGGCGGAGGGATCTGTCCTGGAGCTAGGAAGTGATGCTCAAGGTAAGGACCAGAGTGACCCCTGCAGAGAACCGCTGCCATCCTCAGCACAGTAAGGGCCTGAGCTCTTCCAACAAACAGAACAGCTGAGTGTTTGTATCAAGAAATTGAACGTGACAATGTTCTCCAGGAGAATCAGCAGAGCACCATCTTCCCCTCCATTTCTCTTTTTGTGCTGTTGGCAACAATCCTCAGGTGGGCCTCCCACACCCAGAAACAGTCTGATTCAGCTGGATGTTACAGGTTGACCATTATTTAATGCACCACATACAAGAAAGGATGGAGACATGGTACATTAGTTCCCCAGAGCTGCTGTAACAAATTATCCTAAAATGGGTAGCTTAAAACAGCAGAAATGTACTGAGGATGCTGAGGCAGGAGAATTGCAAATTTCAGGCCAGCCTTGGCAACTTAGCAAGAACTTGTCTCAAAAGAGAGGAGGGGATATAATTCAGAAGTAGAGCACTTGCCTAAAATTCACTAAGCCCCTAGGTTCAACTCCCAGTACCACCAAGAAAAAGAAAACAAAACACATTCAATCTTTCTTAGATTGATAGGGCACCTGGCAAAGGCACATAGCTAATATGTAAGTTCAAGGTACTTCATTATGTGTCTGGGGTTTCAAAGTACTGAAAGAAATTTTGAAAAAGGATGCAACACATGGAGCTGTAGCAGCCCTATTGGAATCATGAGGCAGTAGCCATGCAGAAAAGAAGCCAACACTAAATATAGAATGGAAAGCTAGAATTATGTGGCATCATTAGAGCATTCAACTAATACCTGTTCCTGTGTTTACTTTGTGATTTCTTGTAGTGAGAAAAAAATAAACTCTTCATTTGTCTAAAATGCTTTTGCATAGATGTTTCATTACTTGGTTTTTTTTTTTTTTTTTTTTTGGTACTGAGGATTGAGTCTGGAGATTTGCACTGAAGAGGGCCCCCCTCACCCCCAACTCTTTGAGATAGGGACTCATTACACAGCTAAATCACCCAGCCTGGGCTCGAACTTGCCTCAGCTTTCTGGACTAGGACTGCCAAGTCTTTAAACGTATTTGTTCGTTGGTTGATTGCTTTGCTCTGGGTCATAAAACTGAGTGGAGGCAGGAAGATTTAAAGTGAAGAGTATCAGACGTGTTGTGGGGCAGGAAACCTGAATCTAGTTGCTGTTACACTGCCAACTGACCCTGTCAGCTTAGAACATTTAGGGTCTCTTCCCGGAGCTCCCTGCCCAAATATATAATTGTGAAAATGGGACAGGACGGTGCCTAATGACCTCTAAGCTCTCCTCAGGCCTAAAATCTGTGATTATTAAGAGGCAAGAGCAAACTAAAAGAAAGCTTTTCTCCTTTCCTTCTCCTCCTTCCTTCTCTGCTGAGATCTGAAAGTTACAGGGCTCCCGCCACCACCCCCAGTTCAAGTACTGAAACCTTCAGGCCAGTGTGATAGAATCAAGAGGCAGAGTCTGCAGGAAGCCATTAAGTCAGCAGAGCAGAGCCCTCCTAAAGGCTTGAGAACCCTTGTCAAAAGGCACGAGGTCCAATTTCTTCTGCCCTGTGAGGACAGTGTCCATCCTTTTTACCCTTTGTTCTTCTGCCATGGGACGACTCCTGGTGGCCCCCTCCATGATGGACGGGCTTTCACAGGATCCAAACCTGCTGGCATCTCCATCTCGAGCCTCCAGGCTTCTAGATCTGTGAGAAATCAGTTTCTGGCCTTTGTAGATTACCTTGTTTGTGGCTGTTGTAGTCAGGGATTACAAGTCTATAGTCTATAGTATTATTTATAGTACAATAATATTATTTATAGTCTATAGTATTATTTATAATGGTCACCCAAGGAGTCAAATAGAAAGAAAGTGCAGGAAATCTTTCCACACACTAGAGACCTAGAGAATCCAGCTGAGTGACCGGATCCCATGGCAATAACCTGCATGAGTTCAGCTGAAGACGTAGAGCCGTGACAATGCCTCCCACGAGTCCAGCTGGAGGCCCAGAGCCAACAATGACTCATGCAAGTCTGTTTCACGGATCTACATCTGCGCTGGGAAGGCTCCAAGGTCTGCGGTGGAAGCTAGAAGGTCTGTGACAGTGGGGTGAAGGAGCTGTGCCAGCAGGCTGAGGGTTAGGCACTGGAGCCAGGAAGCAAGGCTCAAAGTAAGAACCAGAGCTCCCCAAACAGTACCACATCCATCCTCAGTGACATCAAAGTCCTAAGTTCCTTTGACAATGAGAACAGCCAAGTGTATAGCAGGAAAGAAGCTCAACAAGCTCCTGCAGAACTTGCAGCAACAGAAGAACCAACTGTACTACGG